TTTTGGGGTTTTTTTTTTTTTTTTTTTTTTTTTTTTGAGAAGTTTTTGCTATAGGGCGCGTGCGCTCACCAAACAGACAGAGAGAGAGAGAGAGAGACAGAAACCGAGAAACCCCCTCCCCGCCCCCAGAGGAGATGGCCATACCACAATCCGTTCTCCTCCACTCTCCTCTCAGGATCTTGGGCATGCACACACGCACACGCGGCTGGCATCGGTTTAAGCCACCCGGTCTGGGACTCAAACCACGGTCCACTACGTGGGAGTCCAGCGACATAGCCATTACACTAACTGCTGGTCCCCCTTTCCTGTCACTATTTAAGCAAGATCATCCCTAGACCAACTCTCTCCCAAACATGTGCACTCAAAATGAGAACTGTAACTATGGATGGCTTGTTATACTTCTCCAAGTAAGAATACCTTCTTGAAGAGTTTCTTTACCTCTGGTTCTTCCTTTACTTGCTTAAAAAGAAATTCTGGCTCAACCCACAGCCTGGTGGTTAAGGGAGCCAGATCCCTCATGGCTAACAGTATTTGGAATGCCAGCTCCAGTGGCTTGAGAAACACTCTTGGTGCACATGTGCACGTGTGTGTGTGTGTGCCTCAAACCCCAGCAGGATGTAGAAATGGAGAAGGGATTGCAGCATGACCATATCCCACTAGAGGGTGCCTCTCCCTGTCCTTCTCCCTCCCCTTCTCTCACTCTGTCTTTGGCAATTGCACACACCCTCTGACTATTAAAAAAAGAAAGAAAGAAATCCTTACTTTGAACCCTACCATCTACATGGATTTGGTAATTTTAGAATAGAGTTTTGAACAATGTTTTCTCAAGTGTATTTCATAGTCACTAGTTCTGCAAGACAATGATTTTTTTTTAAGTATATGAACCCATGCACACACACTTCAGGGTTCTCTGACTAAATAAAGTTGGGCAACATAGGGTAAAACAGAGTTTATCAGATTTTTTTTTAATCATGGGGTTAGTCAAGAAACTAGTATGTTACCATGACCCTCTAAGAAGGAGCCTGATGGGTCATGTCTTTCAGACATATTTTTCTATAGAATCTCTATTTAACAGGACATCTTTTATTTTAAAAATATTTATTTATTTATTCTTGTTTGTTTGGTGTTCCAGTGATTTATTTCTATGTAATGAACAACCCCAAATTTAGTATGTAAAAAAGACAATGATTTTGTTATGTCCTTTGACCAGAGAGGGACAGAATGTGTGTGTGTTGGGGGAGAGGGGGAGGTGAGAAAGCAAGTTGCCAGGTCCAGAGCTCGAATTGTGGTCAGCCATGTGGGAGTCCAGCGTCTTTAACCAGCTTGTCACCTGCCAGCCCCTCACAGGATACCTTATCTAGTATGTTATCTCATAGGTAACAGACTCGTATTCCAAGAAACACACTTCGGAATATGGTGTACCACATATTTTACATCCTTTGCCTGTATCTCTTTTCTCAATTCTGAACAAAATTCTTCTTTTTTACTGCATTTTTAGTAAATTTATTAATTTCCATTTCCATAACTGAGAGAATCCATCTATAAATCCATGTATAAATACAAATTCGAATGTATTTTCGACTCTTGAAATTAATCATTTCAAGTTTGTGATTGTTTTAGAATGACCCAAAGCAGTGATTTCTTGAACTGAAAAACGTTGGCTTCACTAACTCAATAAAATAGCAAATTCAAATACCCCAGAATCAAAATTCCACATAAAACCCATGAGTGTGCTCACACCTGTACACTTCTCTGCAACCAAATGGCATGAAGATGAAGTTATGGGCACATGCACTCTGGTGAGCAGATGCCATGACAGTCTTAAGAAACCATCACAATCACTATTGGTAACCTGTACATTCTCTTACAATAAACCATGTTCATAACTGAATAAAAGCACATTTATTATAAAAGTCAAACTAATATAGAATTAGGAAAGCTCTAAAGTTTGGGGATGTCATTTATCTTTAAAGCACGTTGCTCCTAGTGAATGCTAATATTCAAATAAATAAAGTAATTGTGAAATGAACGGGCCAGTCAGATGTATAGTGGTTAAGTTGGCTAGATTCCACAAAACCAAGTGGTTAAGTTGGCTAGATCCCACATAGCCAAGTGTCTAGTTCAAGTCCTGGACCTCACAGCTTGAAAATCACCCCTGGCACATGTGAGTGTGTTCCCAAAATCCCAATGCGAGAATGGATTGTGGCATTGCCTTTCCCCCTGGGGTGGGGGGGGGAGGATGATTTCTCACTATCTCTGTCTTTTTCTCGCTATTTCTCTTTCTCGCTGGTGAGCTCAGGTGCCCTATAGCAGGGGGAAGAAAAAAACTTCAAAGGACTTAACAGACTCCTAAATGTTCTGTAGTTATTACTTAGAACGTTTCTTTCCTATTGAAACTCTTAAGACTTAAATTTGGACTTGAAACATGATGCCTTAAATGTACGCATACTATATGTTTATTTATTTTAACTAAAGCCAAAAAATCTTTTAAATGCAGAAAGATTTTTACAGTCTCCAGGTATCAGACTCTATGAATCTAAACCTGTAGGAAAATTACAAAGAACTTGAGTACAAAACTGCATTTGGATATACTGGTCACTTCGTCACAAAGACAAAAACGAAACCATAAAATGATTTGATAAAAGGTCTCAGCATTTTGTTCGGGTAAAAAGCTACTATAGTAAACTGTGAAGTTAGCCAAAATAAAAACCGGTGCCTGAAATCACCCCTCTGATAGCCTTCTCTAAGCTGCTCCAATGTGTTCTATTACAAATATAAAACTTCAGCATCTCTTTCACATTAAACTTAAAGAGTTTAAGGGCCTCCACCTATCAGGATCCAGCTTCAGGTTTCCAACATAAGAATCTTCATACAGCCTGCAGAATTCTCCTAGGCCCACCAGGAGTAATCAAATTTCATGTTAACTATTAAATTACAGACATTCAATGATGTTTTCCAAACCTCGGTTTAGAAATTCTAAAGGCCCTTAGAAAGCATCCTTAAACCGGAGCCGAGGTCAGTAAGTGAAACCGTTTACCTGAGAAAAGCAAAACAAAGAGGAGTCCTCGCCATCCCAGTCGGCGCCTTGCAAAGTGGCACGCGATGGACCCCATCCCCATTGTGAAGCGCGAATTCTTTGTAACACTGGGAGACACTGCGGAACAAAAATACTATTAGAAATGCTTCAAAAGGAACATTTTTGGCTGCGATAGAGACTTTTGACATTATTTATTAGGTTCAAAAATGCTTCACAAAAGCCTAACAATGGTTCTGTGGAAACCAGTACATCTGAGGCCCTTTCTGTTGTTCGGCGCAGGCATTGATTCGAAGGCCGGCCTCGCTCGCCTAACAATTCCCTCGCAGCGGTCAATGCAAGCGAGCATTCACCACCGGCCCAGACAGGGCCTGTGAACAGGCCGTATGGAAGCGCCGGGGCGGCCGCGGGGGTGCCGAGGAGCAAACCTTTATTAACCTCTTGGACGGGAAATGGGTGGAAGCTTCGACGCACGGAGGAAGGGGCGCTCCTGCCAGATTGCGGTGGAGGGAGGTGTCTGCCCTAGGCCTCCTCTCCCCCAGGGCATGAGGATGCTTGGGGAGCATCTCCGCTGCCATGGCAACCGCGCCTCTTCCGACTGGATTTCCGGACTCGCCAAGGAGTTCGCTCTGGAAATCTGGAGGTGCCAGAGCGCCTACAGGGGCTGCCACGCTGTCCTCCAGCTCGGGTTCCGACGCACTCCGCCGGACGCTGTGCTGGCCCAGGGGGTGCTGGCTCGTTCTGCAGAGGCCGATGGCTGTGAAAGGTCTCGCAGCAAGATCTGGAAGGCAAAAAAGGGCGTTCGAGTGCGCGGGGCGGCGTCGCATCCAATGGGGCTTTAAAGGAAAGAGATCTCTCCTGATAACCGGACGTTGGAGAAATCAGGGTCTGTATGGTTTGCAGATAGAGCAGGAAGAAAACATACTCAGGTCTTACATTCCTATGTTTTCCCACATTTACAAGAACAAAATGTTCTTTATTCTTTTCCTGCTCTTTGAAAGCACCTTCCAACCCCCTCCCCCTCCAAAAATGATCTCTACAGAATCCTCATAAAACTTTTTATTTCAAGAAAAACTGTTCAAAACTTCTAAAAAGAGAGAACCAGAAGAATTAGTGACTAAAATAAAGCCTCGACTTCCAATTTTGGGGAAAGTGTGTGAATGGAAAATTGTTGAGTAGTGTTAACATCATGCAAAAATAAATTGATCTACAACCCTTTTGAACTGACAACTGATGATTTGAACAATCCAAGAGAGTAGTTTTATAGGTTTTATTAGAAATTGCAAACCAGCTGAACAGTGAATTAACCTGGAGCTGGGTGCACACAACATTCCCACACACTAATATATATAATCGTTTTTTTCTTTCTTGTCACATCCTGTTCTACGCCTGGTATTATTGGGCACCTTCCAATGCACGTTCAACATATCCATGTCAGACTGAAAGATTTTTAGGAATCTGATTTCTTTTTTCTTTTTCTTTCTTTTTTGGAGAGGTTTTTGCTACAGGGTGTGTGCGCTCACCAGAAAGATAGAGACAGAGAGACAGAGAGACAGAAAGCAGGAAATCAACCCCCAGGGGATATGGCCATGCTGCAATCCCTTCTCCTCTCCTCTCCTCTCAGGATCATGGGCACGCACGCACCTGGTGTGAGTTTAAGCCACCGGGTCTGGGATTCACCCGCAGTTGACTACATGGAAGTCCAGCGACATAGCCATTATGCCAACTGCTGGTCCAGGAATCTGATATCTCCAGTGTGGGAATTATTCCCTGGTAATCAAGGTGGAATGACAATACTGTATTTCTAATATGACATTTAATTTCTAAGGTAAATTAAAACTTCCAAACCATTGCTTTCTAAAAACTAAATGCTTAATAGCTGTTCATTGATTTAAATGTCCAGCTTTGGCACATGACCAAGTCACTGTCATCAATATCCAGTGTGAGAAGAATCCACCAGAGATCATGAATGTGACTCTGGAATCTGGAGCAACCGGACATGGTCAGACAGAATATGTTGTCCTCTATTTTGAGCCCTAAGATAGGCATTTCTTCCCTGAACACAATTTGGTAATTTTGCAACAGTCTTAGAGGAGTAATGTGGTGTACAGAAAAGAATAAGGCTCTGAGGTCAGGCATCCTAGCTTCAAATCCTGGCATATCACCTGACCCTTATGTGAAACATGGGAGTTGTAAGGTTATTTTTTTCTTTCATTCATTCATTCATTAATACTCCAGTGCTGGTTATGTGCCTGGCAGTTATTACAGACATTGGGGATACAGAAGAGAAGAGGATAGGCAGACTTACTCACAGAGCTTTCCTTCTACTTGTGGGGGAAGGAAGAGAGGGGAACAGACTAATAAATAAGCAAATGAGCAAATTCGTAAGTGCCAGCTGCTAATAAATCCCAAGGAGAAAAATAAAGCAAGAGAGAAGCTTAGGAAGGACCCAACTAAGTGACATCTCAGTAAAGATTTGAAAGATGTGAAAAAGGAAACAAGTTAAACCTTTGAGGGGAGAACATGACAGAACACAAAGCATGAAGAGAATTGGAAGTACTCAGCGCCCAAGAGCTATTATTGTCATATTTAGAACCTTAAGTTAGGAATGCTCTTGAATCAGAATGAAAGGCTCAAATCCTGGCTCCAGTCCTAAAGTTACAGAAACTCTTTGAGTATCAGATTCTGCATCTAGTCAACAAGAAAATAACAGTTCAGCTCCTATCTCAGAGGAAGGTCCTATGAAGATTACCTATACACGTTAGTACATTGCCTTGTACCTATGATGGCACAAAAATGTCTAATCAACCAGCGTCATATGTGTCCTCTCATTGCTCAGCCTCCCAGAAGTGACAGAATCCCTGACTCCACCTCTTTGGCAGAAGGACTCCTCAGCCCCTGCTTTAGCACTTCTAGCCTAAGCAGGTGCATCTCTTCTAGCTCAAACAAAGTCCTCTTCTATATTGAGTCAAAAATTTGTCTCTCTGCCTTTTTTCATTTCTAATAAACTGCACAAATGCTTAGAGCAAACCTCCAAAGATTCCTTTACAACAAAAGGCTAAGTAACTTCTAATTCTTCTTGCATGACAGTTCCTAGATAGGCATGTTTTCTTACATTTTCTTCTTTCTAGCCTACACATCAGGACCATAAACACCAACAACAACTAGCAGCAGTATCACCACCATTCAGTGACTACTATGTATGGGGAACTTTATTTTGATAAAAATTACATCTCTTCAAAGTAGTAATTGTCAGGACTTTATAGCTGACAAAACTGAACTCAAAGAACATTTATGGAACTTGATCATGACTACAGAGCTGAAATGGGACAGAGCTAAGATTCAAGCCCAGGTCTTCTTATTCCAAAGTTTATTCCTTCTGGTCCTCCTTACTTTTAATTATGCCTCTTATTACAACATGTGATTTTTCAAAACACTTTATTAACATATGTATCTCATCATACTGTGCTATGAAGTCATGGCTACCTTCTCCATAAAATGGGAAAAATGACATCATCGGCCTGAGTGTCATGAGGATCTCATAAATAGCATAAAATGCTTGCCACAGTGTCTGGCACATGATGACAGTTCAATAAATGAGGATAGGAATGATGATGACGGTAATAATAACTCTCAGTATCATTATCACTACCTAATGCAATACCAGAACTATCAAATTACCTGTCATCAGTTCACACTTGTTTTCTCCTCCAATATAATGCTTGGAAACAAGTAGATGTTCATTAGGGACTAACTAATTCTGTTCTTATCATTCCTCGTAGAATAGAACCTGCCATTAAGTCAGACATTTTTCTGTTCATATTGAAGTTAAAAACAAAATGTGGGGTCCAGCAGGTGGCATAGTGGTTGTGGCACCGGGCTCCCATGTGGATGATTGCAGCATGGCCCTCCCTCTTCCCCTATCTCACGGGTGATTTCTCACATTTTCTCTCTGTGTCTTTCTCTCTGTCTCCTGCAAGCACACATGTCTTATAGCAAAAATCTCTCTCTCTCTCTCTCAAAAATAAAAATAGTGACCAGTTGAAACAGAAAAGAAAAGAGGAGTTAGGAGCCACAATGTGATGCCTACCAGAATCTCCCTTGGCATTGCTCAAGGACTGGCTCTGAAGTTTCATGTGTCTTTTGATGTGCACTCCTGTAGCTTCCAAGTGAATCGGTTTTCTTGAGCGGGGTAGAATAGGCTTTTTAGCCATTTCCTGATCCAAAAATGGACTGCTCCAGGCTTGCTTGGGTGTTCCTCTGTCCCTCTTCATACTTTCTTCTCTGACAGCAAAGGTCAGTGGAGCCTCATCCCTTTCACTGGGTAGTGTTGAGGAGGAGCCCACGTCTCTGCAGTCTTCATCACAAGAAACTGTAAATACCGAAGACCTGGGGATTATGTGCTGACAAGTACAAGTACTTTTATATGCTGCTGGATTCTGAGTCCTTTCTGGAAGTACTATAAAAGGTACATAACATTAGTTGGAAAGAATGCACTCCAGTATCACCTACTAAATTAATGGCAGAAAATATGAAACTGGGTAACAAATTCTCATGTTTTGTATTTCTACCCTGAGCAAATGGAAATGACAAAGAAGTCAGGAACTGGGGAACCTTAGTGAGATAAGAACAGGAGGAAAAGGTACAGCAAGGGAAGTAAAAGACCAAGAATCTTTTTGTTGAGTTTAAGCTGAATTGAAGGCACTGTGTGGGAGGCCCTGGATACGGTTGTCATTTAATCCTCTCAAGAACTACATCTAGGGAACCAGCAGTTAGCGTAATGGCTATGTTGCTGGACTCCCACGTAGTCAACCGCAGTTCGCATCCCGGACCCAGTGGCTTAAAACTCATGCTGGGCCCGTGTGCATGCGTGCCCAAGATCCCGAGAGGAGCATGGAGGAGAAGGGATTGAGGCGTGACCATCCCCCCTGGGGGGGTGATTTCTCGCTTTCTGTCTCTATGTCTCTCTCTGTCTGTCTGGCGAGCGCACGCACCCTATAGCGAAAACCTCTCAAAAAAAAAAAAAAAAAAAAAAAAAAGAACTACATCTAGAGGACAGTGCTATTATCTCTATTTTATAGGTTAGAAATTGTGCCCCCACCCTCCCAAATCCCTCCCCGTATAAAAGATATATTGAAATTCTAGTATCCGGGACCAGCAGACGACCCTGCCAACACCTTTATTTTTAATTTCTAGCCTTCAGGATGGAGAAAACACGTTCCTGCTGTTTTATAATCACCCACTTTGTGGTAATTTCTTATAGCAGGCCTAGAAAACCACTAAAGGGTTAGATCAAGTAGCTTGTCCAAGGTTCCACAAATATTAGTTAGTAGAGTTGAAACTTTGTGACCAAATGACTTAGTTTTTTATGGGTTAAACTATGTTATTTGAAAAGTACATTGAAGTCTTAGTCTCCTGTGTCTGTGAATATAACCTTATTTGGAAATAAAATATTTTTTAAATTATTTTTTAGAGAGTTTTTTTCCTACAGGACATGTGTGCTCACTGGAGAGACAGAGATAGAGAGACAGAAAGTGAGAAATCACCCTCCTCCCCCCGCCCTAGGAAGATAGCCACACTACCAATGCCTTCATTTCTATTCATCTCTTGGGATTTTTGGCATGCATGCACACACGCCCAGCATGAGTTTTAAGCCACCAGGCCCTGGACCCTGGACTTGAACCACAGTCAACTACATGGGAGTCCAGCAATGTAATCATTACGCCATCTGCTGGTCCTGAAAATAAAATCTTTGCAGATATAATTCAGCAGGTAAGATGAGATCATTATGGTAAGCCTTGATCCAATATGGCTGATGTCCTTATAAGCAGAGAAAACAGAGGTTGAGACACACAGGAAGAATGCATGTGATAAGGGAGGTCAACAATAGAGGTCTGCACTGACAAGCCAAGTAATACCAAGGACTGCCAGCAACTACCAGATGTTATGAAGAAGGAATTGGACAGGTTTTCCCCCAGGACCTCCAGAAGAACCTAACCCTGTGGACATCTAAACTTGGGCTGCTGCCAGAACTGTCAAAAAATAAATTTCTGTTGCTTTAATCCACCCAGTTTGTGATAATTTTTATTGTCACCTTAGAAAATAAGTATAATAGTTCCAATTTATACATGTCCCAGAGTAATGTTTTCAATAACAGAGTCCATGTGCATGTGCACATGTGTGAAAAAGAGATAAAAAAGTACAGGGTCTTGTCACATCCCAATACCCTTTCCCCAGTCTTCCATTTTCTCAAGATTCTGAGCACCAATGTGTTTCCAAATTGACTCTGAGATCTGAACCCGTGACTGGCCATGTGGCTTCCAGCCTTGCAGGCGCTTGGGTTACCACTCTGCCACAGTGGTTGGGCCCCAGAGTAATAATTAATAGCAGCCTTTTTTTCACTCAAAAAAGGTATCCAGATGATAGAAAAGAGGATGTTAAATATGGAATAAGAAGAGGAAGGGATTAGAATTTTGAAAAATTGGACTATGTGGAAGAAACCATATCAAAGTACAAGAATTTTTATAAGAAGACAAAAATTCCGTGTGTTCAAGGCACAATCAAATGGCAAAGAAGATACTGGCTATGCAAGGTATAGGGAAGGAATCACAGCTAATGCCTCCAGGAGCCAGGCAGATGACAGAAAAGAAAGAGCCAAATAGGAATACCCTGATGGTTTATGTCACATTCACAAAGATTAGACACTTCTCAGGTTCTGTCTTTTATTGCCATACAAGGATGTGGGTCCAGTGTAAACTGTCTTTCTGCATTTTTTTAGAAGTTTAAATATATTGTTTATGTATATGGAAAACTTCTTCATTTTAAATGTTGGTACCTCATTCCTTTTTTTAATTTTTTTTTTTAATGCAAGATGTGATATGCAAAAGATGAGTGCTCTCTGAATCAGCACAGGTCAAGTTTGCCTCTTTGGCTTATGGCTACCCTGTAAAGGCCACGCTGTCACTTACCTCCTTTCAGTATATCTTCACCCCCAAATGTGACTTTATAAATATTCAGCATGGTTGAGTGGGAATGCATTTGCAAGTGCTGTGTGCACACAAATTTTAGAGTTCTAGAAATCTAGTGAACTTCCAACACTGTAGACAAGATTTTTTGTTCTCATTTTTTGATTGGTTAACCCATTTCATCTTAGAGTCAGAGTTTGAAATGATAGGCCAATTTATTCTATATGTTTCTATAAACTGGTCTACCAATGGAAAGAAACACATAGAGTCTTTAATAACAGAGCACTGGGTCTCCTGTTTCAGAAAGGAAAACATTAGAACAATGGCACTGGAAGTATCCTTGTTTTGTTGTACAAATATCAAGAACAAATTGGAAAACCTGAGGCCCTTCACACATCTTCACATCCCAAAACTATGGGTTGAAAGAGACCTTAAAGGTCACCTGAAGCTCAGCCCCAGTACCCTCGATGTCCACCTCTGGTTACATGTCTCCAGGAGACTAGATCTTAGTATATCTGTATCAAAAATGTCACTGGTTTTCAGAGAAGTACGTAACTTAGTATTTTCAATATAGCAGGCACTGTGCATATGTGTATGTGTATAAGGAATAATTATCAAAGCCACCATGTGTGATGTTAGGACAAATGGTGATTATGTTTATTTATTTATTTAACCAGTATTTACTGAGCTTCTACAGTATTCTAGGTACTACTCCAATGATAAAAGGTTACCCAGACCAATAGAAGTAATTATTTTGAGACTAACTTGGCCAGCAGATTTGTACAAAAACAAACTTCAAACCAGAGCACACCAAATCAGAACCTTCCAATGTTATGGGCCTCTGAATGAATTTTAGGTTTCTTTGTTTTAACTATCAGGTTGCCTAAATTGATAGAACAACCAGTTGTTTTGGCATTACACAATCAGAGACAGAAACTATTGAAAAAGGAAAGTCCTTCTACTATTTCCAACAGCCTTCGATCCTTCTTTTTGTTTCAGTTTTTCAGATTTACCCTCCTCCATAGTGACAGAACTTAAACCCAAACTCATAGCTCATGACTTAAAGTTCAGTTAGGTTGCAAATCTCTTAAATCTAATTCAATGTTTCCCAACTGTAGCTACATATCAGACAATGCCTGAAATGTTTTAAAAATATGGATGGGTGGGTGCCCACTGCCCTTCCCATCCCTACCCCCTGACCAGCCAGGGAAAAAAGAGCCCAAGTATCTGTATTTTATAAGATCTTCAGAGATTAAAATATGTAATCAGCATAGGGAAATAGGGGTTTCCATCAATCATTGGAGATTTCAGACACTGTCAATGATTTTGTTCAGCTGAATAGTCATGAACATATTTCTCTCCTTAGTATCTCTCTACAGGCAATCCTCACTTCATATGCCTGTTTACTAGCATATACCTTTACATTCTGTTTTCAGATCAGTAAACTCACCTAAGCCTCACCAAAACTCTCCAGCTTACCATTTTACAAAGCAGGAAGTCATCTCAGAGTTAATAAGCAGCATGTCCTCTCCAGTAGCCAGGAATTGAAGAAGCTGGATCTGGGATCAGAGTCTTAAGAGTTCTCAGGGAATTTCTTTTTTTATTCTTAAATCAATGTCACCTGTCCCAAGGGATACACATGACTGCCTCGAACTGGACCTCCCTTAGCTTGTTGGCCGTTTGAGTACACCTGTGATCCAGGACAGCTGAGACTAGGGGTAGACTGTAGTGTGAAGACCCTGTTATGGGGGGCTTGCTCTCTCTCTCTCTCTCTCTCTCTCTCTCTCTCTCTCTCTCTCTCTCCTCCCTATGTCTCGCAGAAGAAATAAACTTTTTTTTAGAAGCTAAGGAAAAATAAGAGAAAATTGGCATAGCAAATGGACTAAAATACATAGAAGAAATAATTTAATATTTTCTTACTTAGAAATAGGTGATAGGAACAACAAACAATGAAATTAGGATAATTTTCTTTTAGTGTAACCACTGTGGAATATATTATGGAAATTCCTCAAAAAACTAAGAATAGAATTACTAATCCCTAGTACTGGGTGTATACACTAAGGGAAAAAAAAATCAGGATGAAGATATACCTGTACTTCTGTGTTCATTGTAGCATCATTCAGAGCACCCAAGACATAGAGTCAACCTAGGTGTCCATCAATAGATGAATAAAGAAATTGTGACATAGATTCAAAATGGACTATTATTTATCCTTTAAAAGGGATGAAATCCTGCCATTTCAGAGCAACATGGATGAGTCTGGAGAATGTTATGTTATATGAAATAAACCAGGCACAGAAAAAAAATATTGCACATTCTCACTCATAAGGAAGCTTAAAAGGTTGATCTCATGGAAGTTGAGAACAGAATAGTGAACATGGCTTCTAGCCTTTTCACATGTTTAATTGCTTCCAAGTTACCTTTATCTACTGATAGAGGGAATCGCTCTTTCCTACTATTGAGACACTCATTTTTTGGATTTTTTTTTTTGGTG